GGGGGGGGGGGATCAGTTCCAAGCCTTCTTTTCTACAGATGCTGAAAAATGTGGGTTATGGCAAATGCTATGGCTCTCTCTAATGGCCGATTCTGGTAAAGTCACCTTTAGAAATCTATATTTCTAGGACTTGTCTCTTCATATGTTTAATATTTTCAGACCATGAATAAGTGAATCATTAGATACTGATTTAGTGGATACAGGGGGTCCTACACAACCACTTATTTGAAACTTGGTACAGTGGTGCCTCGCTTAACAAGCACCCCGTTGAGCGATTAAATCGCTTAACGAGGGGCTCTGGGCCATCGCTGGAGCGTTCCCTCAGCGATGGCCCCTATGGCGTTTTTTCACTTTGCGATATTCGCAAAGCGATTCGCTTAGCGAATATCGCATAACGAAGCGGGGGAGAACAGCTCATCGGCGGTTCCAAAATGGCCGCCGGAAGGTCCGCGCCGCATTTTCGCGCCCTGCCCTCGCTTACCGAGAGCACGAAAATGGCGGTGCTATGGAGGAAGATCGCTTAACGGTGAGTTCTAAAGCCATAGGAACGCATTGAACAAAGTTCAATGCGTTTCTATGGCTTTTTTATTTCCGTTCAGCGATGTTTCGCTATAGCAAAGGTTAATCTGGAACGGATTAACCTCACTATGCGAGGCACCACTGTAGTTTCTTGCTGTTGTCAGTTGTAACTATATTTGTAATAAAAGGTTTCAATGACTGATACTTCATGTTTCACACGCAGCTTTCAGAGCTGAAGAAAAACCTTGCCAGTATGAAAACTGAAGTCCAGGAAGCTCTTCAGAGAGCAAGTGCAGCTCTTAACAATGAGCAACAAGCTAAACGGGACTGCCAGGAACAAGTAAGTTCCTGTCCATAATCAAAGGTGTCAGAATTTTACGTTTGCTTCGTTCTGTGTTGAGTGATTTCTAAATGTAAATATCTAGAATGATGTGCTCTAATATTCATTTTGTGTTACCGTGTAAGAGTAATTGGTTGATGGTTTTATTGGATCTTAATGATATAAAAACACCTAAAATACAACTCATTAGTACTCTATTCCGTTATGTTAGAAATTCATTGTAACATCATCTCATACATTATCTGAGAAGGCAAATTCTTCCCTTTTCCCTCTGTTACATTAATGCTGCATCATGGGTTTAAGTTGACTTTTTGGAGCAGCAAAAGGTTTTAGAATTTCATAAAGAATACAAAAACATTTTATGAGTACAGTATTATAATATGGACAACCCATTCAGTTGTCTTCTGTCCATTCCTGGAGCCTTGATTAAACATACTACTGTATATTAGTGGCAAAAGGTCATTGGTTATATGTTCCTCCATTTTCCTATTCTTAAACTGTTCACCTCCAGCAGACAAGGTGGTCACTCTTTCAGAGAGATGACGTCATGGCTATTGCCCTCCCCCAAGTCCTTACTCCCAATGTCATAAGAATTTCATTTGGGACAAACAAGTTTCTGGTGTTTACGTTTAGATATTTATCTTTTCCAACATAGTTCATTTCTGAGAATTTTAATCTCTAGACTGTTCTGCAACAAAAAACTTGTTATATCTCAGTTTTAGCAGAACCAGTAAGCCTACTGGGAACACAAAAGCTTTTGTTTGTTTTTTCCCCAACCATAACTGATACATACCAGTAAGCCTACTGGGAACACAAAAGCTCCCCCCCCCCAACCATAACTGATACACATGGCTTTAGTCACCAAATGTGAACCTCTGATGTGATAAATGCATAGAATGAAATAAAGTTCTCAACTTTCTTAAAGGTACAGAGATTGAGGTATCTTTGGTTTCCTACAGGCCAAAATAGCTGCAGAAGCACAAAATAAATATGAACGGGAGCTCATGCTACATGCTTCTGATGTTGAAGCTTTACAAGCTGCCAAAGAACAAGTGGCTAAGAATTCTGCAATAAAGCAGCAGCTGGAAGATGCTGCCCAGAAAGCAGAGTCTGCATTGCGAGAGAACAGAGCCTCCTGGGAGGAGCGAGAGAGAACATTGAAGGTATTCTTTTCTGATAACCCTGACCCATGCTGTCTTTGCCCTCAAGTGTCTTTTTCAGTTTCTGAGATGAGCAGCTTTCATTTTTTCTGGTAGGATGAAGTTTCTAAGCTTGCATCTCGCTGTGAAGACTTGGAAAAACAAAACCAGCTCTTGCATGAGCAGCTGGAAACACTAAGCAACAAGATGGTGGCCTCAGTGAAGGAAGGCTCACCAGGTTCATTGAATGTATCTCTCAGCGAAGAAGGAAAATCACAAGAGCAGATAGTCGAAATTCTCAGGTATGCAGAATAGGACACAGTATACTCTTCTGATGTGTTTTTACATTTAGTTCTTATTTCCGTAGTCCAAGCATGCTTCCTGCTTCAGAGATATTGTAACCAAGAGCTGTTGTTATTTTACTTCCATTTCTAAGGGATATGAGATGCTCAGTATTGTAGAAGGGAGTTTTTTAAAAATTGCACCAGTCGTAGATCTGTGGAGTGAATAGCAGATTTGTAGATTCCTTCCTATCTTGTTCCTGAATTCCCATCCTGTTTCGCCTTTCCTGTGCTTTGACTACCATCCTTTATAGCTGTCACTGAAGATGACTTAAGTTGCAATTCAGAAGCCTAGTTTCAGTCTTAATAAACGTTAGAACTGCCTCCTCCCCTTACAGGCATACAAGCATGTGCCATAAGATGGATAACTACCCCACTCTCATTCCTAAACTGTGGTTCTTGATTATAACTTTAATTTGACCTTTGACTACTGTAAGGCCATGGGCAAATGGCAACACCTTTCAGCCACATGAATGGTTTTCTAACTTTCCTTTAGGTTTCAGAAGATTATATTGATGTGTGAACTCAGAAAATGTTGGGGGGGGAGGCTCTAAATCTCAAGCAGAACGTCTGTCTATTGCAGGTTTATCCGAAGAGAGAAAGAGATAGCAGAAACGAGATTTGAAGTAGCTCAAGTGGAGAGCTTACGTTACCGCCAGAGGGTCGAGCATTTGGAAAGAGAGCTTCAAGAGTTGCAGCAGAGCCTGAATGCAGAGAGAGAAAAGGTGCAGGTAGGTACATGTACACTTACCATCACCCATGCTAGAAGCTAACTGAAGTATTTTACTTCTATGGTAGCTCCAAGAAGCATCCCGTAAACATTGTGATACATTGAAAGTCATGCATTTTATTGAAAGGCAACTAATATTGATAGTAGCTGGGCAGCACCCCAGGCCTACCTTCTGAAACATGGTAGTACTGTAAAATATTAAAAGGTTCCCCTTGACAATTTGTCCAGTCATGTCCGACTCTAGGGGGCGGTGCTCATCTCCGTTTCCAACCCATAGAGCTAGCGTTTTGTCCACAGACAATCTTCCGTGGTCATGTGGCCAGCGTGACTAGACATGGAACGCCATTTACCTTCCCACCAAGGTGGTACCTATTTATCTACTCGCATTTTGCATGCTTTCGAACTGCTAGGTTGGTAGGAGCTGGGACAAGCGATGGGGGCTCACTCGGTCGCGTGGCTTCGATCTTACGCCTGCAGGTCTTCTTACCTTGCAGCCCAGAGGCTTCAGCGGTTTAACCCGCAGCACCACCATGTCCCTCTAAGGACTGCAAAAGTATAAATAATTTGAGAAGTGTTCCTGTGATCCAGCCTCCCAAGAAGACTGTTTGACCACTGGTGCACAGCCACAAAAGCAGTGTTGCATCCATGCCACACTGTGCCCTCTGCTCACATGAGAGCATGATGAGGCCCTCTAGGCCTGGCTGGTGTTTCTTGTGAGCTCCCTATTCTCTCGATTGCACTGTGTGGCAGTGGGCCAAAGTCTTCAAGAAACGTCAGTGTGGAAAGAGTTGGAAGCAAAACATTTTTAAAATGCAAGGTTTTACTAATGGATACGCTAAAATCTCATAAAGAAATATGATAGCACTCCAGGCTGCATCTTTCCAGAGAGATTTGCACAAACATTTTGGACTGCAGTATTACTTTGAATTTTAGGTAACAGCAAAAACCATTGCCCAGCATGAAGAGCTTATGAAGAAGACTGAGACCATGAATGTTTTGATAGAAACCAACAAGATGCTGAGGGAAGAGAAGGAGAGATTGGAACAGGAGCTGCAGCAAATGCAAGCTAAAGTCAGTATGGGCTTTAACTATCATGTTCAGAATTCCCAAACAAACGTAGTCATGTCACTTGCTGTAGATATTCTGAAATAAAGCTGTAGCTTTCATTAAAAGTCCAAATTCCGGAACAGTAGTGCTCTAACAGTATTTTATAAAATTATTGGCTAATATTTTCCTTTGAGGAATTCATGGGATCTGTTCTTTTATTGAGAAAAAATATATAAAAATGTGCAAGGAGAGGTTTTCATTTTACTGGATAGTAAAAGTGCCACATTAACATATAATTCTGCATGCAGGTGCGTAAGCTGGAAGCGGATATCATGCCTTTACAAGAGTCAAATGCCGAGCTGAGTGAGAAGAGTGGTATGCTCCAGGCAGAGAAGAAGCTCTTGGAGGAAGATGTCAAACGCTGGAAATCCCGGACCCAGGTGAGCGCCTGTCCATTTCTAACATAATCTCCTTTGCAAGACCTCAGTGCTTTCCTGCCACCTCAGATAAGCAGCTTTCTGTCTGAGAATGGCTGAAAATATAACTGAAATGACAGAAGGAGAGGGCTTAAAAAGAGGCAGAAGAACTCAGAAGATGTGGTCTGAGCTAGTTAGCAAATGCCTTTACACACTTGGGTATTAAAGAGTTACCTGTAGGAAGGCACTGAAGATGTTGGAGTAAAGATCTGATGATAAGACCAGAGATGCTTTTGAATACTGTCAGTGGAACTTGGCGAGGCTAAAGAAAAGTGTTTGAGAATATTGGAAGTCCAGGATGCTCATAGGAAGAGGGGCTGAATGTATATCTCTTCCCCCTTTTTTAGCAATATGTAGGGGAACCGTTCAAATGAAAAACAGGGAAAGCTCTCGCAAGGGAAGTATTAATCTGTGACTGCCTAAGTTATCTTAGGATCCTTGTCCATGAACTCTGAAACATCACATGCTTGCTTTCTGGCGCTGATTTGCAGTATCTAAAAGGAAACCTTTAGTATTGAGATGTCGTGGTTGAAACCAGTTAGGTTTGGCTAATAGGTTTTTGGAATTCCTTATTACAGTCTACTACAATCTGAAGCAAATTTTAAGCTTAAAAATGAAATCTGCTTTCCTGCCTTTTAAAAATCAAAACTAAAATGGCTGAATGCTTCCTTCTAGCACTTACTGAGCCAACAAAAAGATACAGATGTTGAAGAGTATCGGAAGTTGCTCTCTGAGAAAGAAGTGAACACCAAACGCATACAACAGATGAGTGAAGAAATAGGCAGACTTAAAGCTGAAATTGCAAGGTAAAAAATTTATGGAATGCCTCATAGGCTGGGAGAATGAATTTGATCATTTCCTTGCAGAGAGAAACAAGGGAGAGGAGTTTCACTTTGTTTTGCTTTGTCCTATGTTTACTGTCCTGTTCAGTCACTTGTATATAGGATACAGTAGTTCAGGGATTTTACTACTCATAAATTTGCACAGTCTTTACCCATGCAATTTTGGCCCCATATTTAAACATTAGACGTGGCATTCTTTAAATCCTCTGATTATATGCTCTCAGGGAGCAGGGCAGGAAAGATCCCTACTGAAGATCCTAGAGAGTTTCAGACAGTTAAATAGTATCCAGTGGTTTCATATATATAAGCTTGAATCTAGAAATGCACTTTTTTAGCAAGATGATCCATATGTTCCTTATTTCCTTGCCCTGCAAAACCTTCTGTGCCTTACCATGTTCTGAGCAAGTTCCCTCAACTCTTAGGAGTGACTTTGTCAGTGAAGGGAAACATAGCTTTGTATGGGAGGAACCAAGAGACCTCTGCCAAGCAAGCTACATTCAGTAGCTTCTCCATCTGGCTGTAACCTACAAACTTTCTCCAGTGTGGCTATAAAGCAGTGCTTCCCAACCTTGGGTTCCCAGATGTTCTTCGACTACAGTTCCCTGAAATCCTGGCCAGCATAGCTGGTGGTGAAGGCTTCTGGGCAACAAAGCCTCTAATTTTCACTCTACCTCTCGTGTGATTTTGTCCCTACATGTGTCACGACTAGAACCAAAGAGGCGAAGACAGTTGTTGCATGGAGGAGGAGGAAAGCTGCACAGAGAGAGGTGACATTGTGTGCGCGCACATGTGCACAGCCACACGCCTTAGAGGGAACATTGCTTCTGGGAGTTTTAGTCCCAAGAACATCTGGGGGGGGGTCAAGGTTGGGAATCATTGCTGCGAGGCCTATCTGCAAGAAGAGGGCCGTCATGTCTATTCTGGAGTTTTGTCTGTAACCACAGCTAAAGACCAGCTTGAGACCACTGGTGTAATAAATAAAAAATACCTTTAAAATAGGTGTATATTCATTTCTAGCCATACTGTAGCAAATGTATTATTTTGACTATTCTTACAGTTTTCTTTATAACCATTCAGTTCACATTTTCCTTAAACAAAAATATAGTAGTCCATAGAATCATACAACAGTTGAGTTGGAAGCAGCCTATGAAGGTGTCGAGTACACATGCTTGTGTAGTGTTAAGACTCTTTCGATGTATGTTCAGGTCAAATGCATCACTGACAACAAATCAGAACTTGGTCCAGTCCCTCCGTGAAGATTTAGCAAAAACAAAAACTGAAAAGGAAACCCTTCAGAGGGAGTTAGAAATGAAAGTGGCTGACATCCAAGAGAAAGTTAAGACCATAACTCAGGTCAAGAAAATTGGACGGAGATACAAGACACAGTATGAAGAGCTGAAAGCACAACATGACAAGGTAGGTTTCGGTGGCTGTAAATATTGAAGAGCGCTCTTCAGTCAGATTTTTAATATAGCTGCTTGTTTTCAGATTACTCTATTAAGAGTCGACAAATAGAATAAGTGTAATCCGTTCCGGATTAACCTTCTCTATAGCGAAACATCGCTAAATGGAAATAAAAAAGCCATAGAAACGCATTGAACTTCGTTCAACGCGTTCCTATGGCTTTAAAACTCACCGTTAAGCGATCTTCCTCCATAGCGCCGCCATTTTCGCGCCCTCGGGCAGGGCGCGAAAATGCAACGTGGACCTTCCGGTGGCCATTTTGGAACCGCCGATCAGCTGTTCTCCCCCGCTTCGTTATGCAATATTCGCTAAGTGAATCACTTAGCGAATATCGCAAAGCGAAAAAACGCCATAGGGGCCATCGCTGAGCGAATGCTCCAGCGATGGCCCAGAGCCCCTCGTTAAGCGATTTAATCGCTCAGCGGGGCGCTCGTTAAGCGAGGCACTGTATATCTGCTTGTTTTCAGATTATTAAGAGTCGACAAATAGAACAAGTAAAACAGCTGTCATTTGGTTTTGATCATCATGACTACATGTAAAAAAGCTCATACTTCAGTCTATAGTTTTGAAGTACTTAACCCTACTCCAGTGATCTCTATAAAATGTATCATTATTCAACAAATAGTAATGTCTATTCCAGTTCTGCAGGATGTTTTTGCATTGTAATTAATACTCAAAGACAGTTAACCCTACTCCAGTGATCTCTATAAAATGCATCATTATTCAACAAATCTGGCAAATAGTAATGTCTTTTCCAGTTCTGTAGGATGTTTTTGCATTGTAATTAATACTCAAAGACAGTATGCTTTTCTCTACATGTGTTACTATTCTTTTTGAGGCCACAGTTCACAAGGAGCTTGATAGTGCTGACCACCTTAGGCCAAGGGGCAGACCAGCAAACTGTAGCTGATTCCTCCATCCACTGTATTTCGCCTGCATGCAGGACCTGTATAGGAGGAGCTGAGGTTCTTAAGGTTACTGTGCTTTTTGCCGGTGGCACTCCAGGGCACCTCTGCAGCCATAATCTGAGTGTGTGAATCTACAGAGCCCACGTTGGTTGAAGTTAGTGATATGCGTAATACTGTTACTGGTCCACAGCAGACATGTTTACATTATTCATCTGAAACTTCAGGTGGTTGAAGCATCCACTCAGTCTTCTGCAGAACAGCAAGAGCAACAGGCTGCAGATAAGGAAGTTCAGGAGATGAAAGAAGCTCTGACCCAGGCTGAGGCCAAAATTAAAGCCCTGGAGGGACAGACTGAAAATTTACAGAAGGTAAGAGACTTATGTGATGTGCACATATGTGCATTCCTGGTATACAACTAGAGTAAAGGTTACTGGCAAGACAGAAGCAGGGTGCTGTGGCTTGTGTGTGTGTTTACTCACTTGCTCGTTCATTCATTTACCAGACTGAAAAGGTAGTTCTAAGGTAGTCCGTGCATGTACTACCCAAAGTTTCTTGTGGCAAATGCAGGGTGTGAATTTAGGGAATAGGGATAAGTTTTTATAAATCAAAATTCCATAATTGCCTTACCACAGGCAGAAATGCCTAGACTTACCGGTAAACGCCCTGATCAGTGACAGACATTTTGTATGTTTTTATAACCCTTGGATTCTATAGGATCTTCATCTTCAATGTTTGATTTAACCCACTGGCTGCTGGAAGTAATTACCCAGTCCTAAAAGCTCCATGAATTTTTCATTCTTTCTACACAGACTCTAGGAGAGAAAGACAATGAAGTAAAAAATCTGCAGGAACAGGTAGCCCAGCTGCAGTCGGATGTTTCCCGTCTTCATCAAGAATTACAAGAAAAAACAACCCAGGAAGAACAGCTCAGGCAACAGGTGGCTGAGAAGGAAGAAAAGACGAAGAAGACTCTTCTGGCTGCTAAGCAGAGGATTGCACAGTTAGCAGGTGGGTGGGTTGGGAACACTTCCTACTTTGCAGAGGCCTGTTGCGGCAGTAAGACAGAGGTGTGTGGAATCTTAAAAACTAAATCCTTTATCAAGGCACAGAGCAAAAGCCCACTTGATCAGATTCTGGGAACTGGCTGAGAAAGTAGTAAATATGGTCAGCATACGTATACATTTGCTCCCCCCCAATACAGTAATAGTCCACCCTTAGCTGTTCATATGGTAAACACATTCAGATTTTTGGGAACTAGAGATCAGATATGGTCAAGAGATCAGGAATCAATATTCATACATTCTGTGTCCCGTTCTTTCCAAATAAAACCAGAACTTGAAAACCCATCCTAGCGCCAGAGCTGGTGGACATGGTCTCTGAGGGGTCTCCTGAGACAAAGCTTCCCTTATCTCTCTGGCTTGAGTGGTGAAAAAAACAGGCAGAAAATCCTGTGTTAAAAATATCTTTGGATTGCTGTGGTACCTGTATCATAACGAGTCTTTCAGGGAAAATCTGTTCCCATACTTCCTTTGAAGTGATTTGGTAAACAGAGTTCTGGAGAACAGACTGACTCTTCCGTTCCTCAATCAAGGAGCAAAAGAACAGCTGACAAAGGAAAATGAGGAATGGAAGCAAAAGAACAACACCCTGGAAGAGCAGAAGGCTGAGATGGAAGTCCGGATGAGTGCCCTGAAATCCCAGTACGAGGGCAGGGTTTGTCGCTTGGAGCGCGAGCTGCGAGAGCAGCAGGAGAGGCATCATGAGCAGCGGGATGAGCCTCCAGAGTCCACCAACAAGGTAGGTAGATGGTTTAGCTTTTCCCATCTGCTCCGCAAAGGTCCTGCTAGATTGGCAGTGGCCATTGAAATCCTATTGTAGTTCTTCATTCTCTTGCTGTAGGGTACCTCTGATAGGAGAGAGGGAAAGAGCTGCTGTTCTCAGTCAGCAGAAATGGTTAAGATGGCAAACTCACCTGGATGGTTTTCAGTGACAACATTTTGCTATATGTTGTTGTGATGTATGCACTTATGAATGTATAATAAGCACCTGAAAGTAAACAACCCCCCTGGTAATTTGGTAAAACACAAGACTTGAGACTGATTTCTTAAGTACGTTTTTGTTGAACTTGTGGTTTCTGTGGTTTACCCATTCATTTTATTCATCAGGTTCCAGAACAGCAGAGACAGATTACTCTGAAGTCAACTCCTGCGGCAGGTGACAGAGGAATGTGAGTTCAGGCTTTCTTTTATCTGTACTTCTGTCAACTGTCTCCACCCCTACTTTGCTTGTTGTATCTATGCTGAGTGCAAGACTGCTAGATTTTATTTGGAAGAGTTTGATAACAGATGTTGTTCAAGCATTTTGAAGGATCAAGTATGCCATGACCACAGGTTTACCTTTACCTGTTTGCTTGTATACCTCTGAACACCATTCGTTGAGTAACACAAACACTGAGCTGTTGCACTCCTAACCTGTGTGTGACCCTCCCGTGGGCATTTGGTTGGCCATTGTAAGGATGCCTGTTTAAATTGACTGGTGGTCTGATGCGTTGCACCAGAGTCCTTTTTTAGATACTTCCACATGCATAAGATTCCAATGTATTTGTTCGTAGGAAAAAAGTGAAGGTTTAAGAGCTGTTCTAGATCATGCATGGGAAAGTGGAATGATCAAAATTAAGAGGTTTTGTATGGGTTGATGCCCTTTTAAAAACAAGTTACATTGTAGTCTTGTTTATATGTTTAACTTAACATCAAACCAACATACATTTTCTTCTTTTTTTTCCTCTAGTGCTAGTACTTCAGATCCACCAACAGCCAATATCAAACCAACTCCTGTTGTGTCTACCCCAAGCAAAGTGACAGCTGCTGCCATAGCTGGGAACAAATCAACTCCGAGGGCCAGTATCCGTCCCATGGTGACTCCAGCAACTGTGACAAATCCTACCACAACACCAACAGCCACTGTAATGCCAACCACACAAGTGGAGACTCAGGAAGGTAATTTCTGATTAGAAGATGCATCAGCTGAACATGTTAATACCTTATAATAAACAAATAGTTTACAATAATTGAAAAGAGGTATAATGAGGGGAGAGCTATGTGAAACTGGGTTTAAATCAAAAATTCTAATGTACTATATAGCTTATGAAATATTAGTAAAAAGGAAAGCTTGACACTTTTAGCTGAGATTTTATATTTGAAACATATATATACTGCTGCCTTAGGATTTCTCTATGTTAAGGATTTTGTATAACATGAGTGTTCTCATGATAGCTGAAAATCTTCCTGTCATCATCTAGAGAAGCTGAAAACATCTAGCATAGTTTGCAAAAATTCATTTGAAAGCAATTCCTTAAAAATCAAAGGAGGAGAATTGTAAATGAAGGAGGAGTAAACTGAAATGGCTTGACCCATGGAAAATGTTTTTCTCCACCTGAGCATAGTTTTCAGTTTTCAAAATAATGGCTTGAAGAGAACAATGTTGTATTAGAAGGTAATATGTTGTTCATCTGAAGTTTGACAAGTTCGTTCATCATTAAAATAATACTCAAAATAATTTTATGTGGTTAAAAAAAACAATCCCATGTGACCTTGAGTGCTGCATAGGTTTCTCCATTTTAAAGTCTAAATAAACTTGAGACACATATGAGGCCTCCTACCAGTTGTCCAGCATGTTGTATTAAACTTGATTAGTCACATCCAAATATGGCCTCTGTTTGAAGGAAAGGTACTGAAATAGATGGACCGTTAATGCCACTTGATCGTGTCATGTTCAACTTCCTTTTTCACATTGAAGGAAAGGTACTGAAATAGATGGACCATTAATCCCCATTTGCCACTTGATCATGTCATGTTCGACTTCCTTTTTCACATACAGTGGTGCCTCGCAAGAAGAACGCCTCGCGGGATGAAAAACCCGCAAGAAATCGTTTTTGTGGTTGCTGTGATGGCTCGCAAGACAGCTTCTTCTATGTCTGTGCTTCGCAAGACTTTTTTTTCCCAAGACCAATGCCTCGCAAGACAAAAAAATTTCATTTGTCTTGCAAGGTTCCCATAGGAATACATTACAATGCATTCCTATGGGAAACCGCTTTTTGCAAGATGAAAATTTTGCAAGACAGCGCTACTCACGGAACGAATTACATTCGTCTTGTGAGGCACCACTGTACTTTTTAAAAAGACGTGATACAGGATATATACATTAGAAGTTAGTATCTTGCACTCTGGGCCAAAGACATGGCTTTCAGCCAGAAATATTACAACCCATGTTCTGTGACTCATTATCATAATACCTTCTTTTCAGCTATGCAGTCAGAAGGTCCCGTTGAACATGTTCCAGTCTTTGGAAGCACCAGTGGTTCTGTGCGCTCCACAAGCCCCAATGTGCAGACATCTCTGTCTCAGCCTATCTTGACAGTTCAGCAGCAGACTCAAGCTACAGCTTTTGTACAGCCCACTCAGCAGAGTCATCCCCCAATCGAGCCAGCCACTCAGGAACCCTCTCCAACAATTTTGGAGGTGGTACAAAGCTCCCAGATAGAACGGCCTTCTACATCAACAGCAGTGTTCGGCACAGGTTGGTTTAATTTCCTAGACAGGAACGTGAAGGGCATTGTCCTCTCAACTATGTTCCTGTATGCTTATTTTTTAAAAAACAAATTATTTAAATTTTAAAAAGCAATATTTTAAAATGAATAGCTTCTTTTACTTCTAAATTGCTTCATATTCTGAATTATGTATTGCCAAGCATTCCTCAAAATTAAAAATCCACAGTCACTGATTATGTTTAATTCCATCTGGCTAATGGAACGTTTGGAGCAAAAACAATATGTTTTCCTTAAGTTTCAGCGACACCAAGTTCTTCTTTACCCAAGCGGGCACGGGAAGAAGAAGAGGACAGCACCGTTGAGAATTCCGAACAGCTTTCTGAGGATATGGTTGATATGCCTCTTGCCAAAAAAATGAGAAGTGTCCAAAGAGTTGGGCCTGAGGTTTGTGCTAATAATTTGCTAGTCTTTCATATGGGTATCACAGTTTCACTAATTGGTAAATTAGAAAGCTGCCCCAGAAAGCTGGCTTTAAAATGTTCTAAAACAGTGAGGAGAACGGCATCAATCTGTTCCAGATTTGGTGGCCAATCAGTTGTGTCTAGATATACAGTGATGCCATTTCATAACTTTGGATCTCCCTGTATTGCTCAAGGTGTGTTACGTTTGGATTTGACAGCAGTCTCCTGCTTGTTCAGCATGCAGAGCCTGAGTAATTCGGTTGTTGCATACAAAAGCCATCTGCGTGTTGGAGCAGTCCGTAGTTAATTCAGAAATAAGTCATATATCCCTGTGACAAAGCAGTGCATTGGAAAAACAGTGGGAATGCCTCTGCTAAATGGCACTGGTTGTTCTCTCTACCCTCCCCCCCCTTTGGTTAGATCACATTTAAGGGACTGGCATTAAGCCAATCTCAGGGTAAGAGTGGAGTAAAAATGAATTGGCCAGTGTTAACATAGCTCTTTAAAATTACATTTGTAAGGCTATAGATAAGGTTATATGTCATTTTCCTTCTTATGTTTAATAAATCCAGATACAACATTGTGTTCACGGTAAGATTGTAGGTGGCTTCCGTGTTTCCCGTAATCTCATACAGAAGTTAACATAAAGAATTACTGTCGCATTTCAGGAAGAAGTCACTGCAGAAGAGAGTACAGATGGAGAAATAGAAGCTCAGACCTTCAATCAGGATTCACAGGATTCTATTGGAGAGGTAAGCAGCCCTTCTCTTGATCAGTCCCGCGTTTCATCCGTACAGTGTGATGGAATCCAGAGAAGGCATTTTAATGTGATATGAATAATATGGCAAAGGGAAGTAAGTCCAGTTCCTAGTATTTCTTAGGCTCCTATCCCATGATCAGAGCTGTAACAAACCCCCAGGCATAGCAGACACAGGCTGTGCTCTTTTTCAACTTGAGATCTCTCTCACCTATTACTGGCAAGGACTTCAGGCCGTTAATGTCTTACTTGTCCTAGACAGGTGTGGCAACAAAAGCAGCACAGCCAGGGCCCCTTGTCTCTCGATACAGTCTCTGTCAAGTGTGTTGGAGATGCAGACTCACCGATCTGCTCGAGGCACAAGGAACTTTCCTGTGTTATACCCACAGTGTGTTCTTTAGAGAAATCTCTGGTGGTCGGAAGGATGATAATTGCTCTTAGTGGTGGTGTTAGCAGCATGTTGGCTTAATACGCTGATTTTGCCTGTCTTTGCCTTGATTTGCAGGGTGTCACACAAGGAGAGTATACTCCCATGGAGGATAGTGAGGAAACTTCCCAGTCTCTCCCAATAGATCTTGGACCCCTTCAGTCAGATCAGCAGAATACAAGCTCATCCCAGGACGGCCAGGGCAAGAGAGATGATGTAATTGTCATTGACAGTGATGATGAAGAAGACGACGACGACGAAAATGATGGGGAAGCAGAGGTATATGGATTGTATTTTATTTTTATTTATTTTTTGTTTGTGCAAAAAAAGTTCTATATTGACTTTTTATGTTAAGTTTTTAAATATATGTTAATCAAGTACCCACTTATTTAATATGCACAAATTATCAGGACTGTTATTTGTCAAAACTGATGTCTTCTTATATTTAGGCAAATACAGAATATTATAGAAAATGTTGTATGACTTCTTGCATTTGCACTTCATCCCTAAATTAGGAAGTTGCCCCTCAGTTGTATCTGGAGGGCTGCATTTCCCCAAGTGGGGAGAATGTGCAGCAACATCAGTGAGCATCATGTTCAATTTATTCTATGAGCTAAGATGCAGAAAGAGTCTTCTGTGTTTCACTACTCCCTTTAAGAGCCTATCTTCCTCTAAGTGTGAAAGCAAAGCTATATGATTTCTAAGGATCTTAGAATTTAGAGGAAGAGCATACCCATCTTTTATTTTTCAGAGCTCTGTCCATTGTTCATGAAAACTGCAAATGTTTCAGCTTGATTTTTTCCCCATGTTGACCACTTGTATGAGCAAGTATTTCAGAGCTCGAACATGATTAGTTTCATCACAGTATTGTTCTAAAATAATGCTGATGTAGGAATATGAGGATGAAGAAGAGGATGACGATGATGAGGATGATGAAGACACAGGAATGGGAGATGAAGGTGAAGACAGCAATGAGGGCACTGGGAGTGCTGATGGTACTGAGGGATATGAAGCAGATGGTGCTGAGGTAAAAAATGGCTAAACAATTTCTGTGAATTACGCTTAACTGAACCTGGTGTTTTTCATGCCCTGAGGGCTGCTTGGTGGGGATTTTATTGAAAAGGCATGAAATTTGAAATAGTTGTCAAATTTTATTTGATTAGTAAGAGATAATGAACTGGCTTTGATCTAGAGAATAAAATATTCATCAAAGAGAGCACAAAATGAAGCATCTTAATATGAAGAATGTAAATTAACAGCTGTTTAGTTGGTTTAAAGAACAAGAGAGAGATCATGAATTAAAAACAAATCTTTAAAAACCTGGGAGAAATGCCCACCTTCAACCCCTCACGACTTGTATTTGACTTTTAAAGGGACCTGATGGAGTTGATCCCAGTACAGAAACAGAAGAGAGCATTGCTGGAGGTGAAAGTAGCCAGAGGGCAGCTGACTCTCAAAACTGTGGTATGGTGTAATGTGGTGTTTTCATGAAAATCTTGTATTTATGTAAGAAAAACAGACTTTGGGGGGGGGAGATCTACCATAAACAAGGCTCCCTCTAAGATGTGCGGCTGTGTGTGTACGTTCAGCTCTGCCTCCCTCCGTGCAGCTTTCCTCCTCCGCACAGCCCTTTTGGTTCTGATTGTGAGGGAACCCTGTGTGTGTGCGCGTGCGCATGCACACACACAGAGGGGAGAAGGCACACACACGAGAGAGAGAGAGGCTGAGTCCCGCCCAGCGGGGCTAAAAATTAGAGGGTATGTTGATCATAAAGAATATGGCCTTCCATATTTTGATTTTAGGGAAAATAAAATATTTAAATAATTTTAAAAACATGTCAAAACAGGTCTGTATGCCTTCCTTGGATCTAGGGGCAATTTTTGACCTTCAATTTATTTATTTATTTATTTATTTATTGGACTTATATACCGCCCCATAGCGCTACAAGCACTCTCCGGGCGGTTTACAATTTTTTTAATTATACAGGCTACACATTCACTGACCTGCTGCAGGCCCCGGAGTCCCTGCAAAAATCCAAATCCTTTGCAAACTTTTCAAAGACCAGAATCGATGGGAGCATGACTTCCAGTTTGGTAGAAGCTCAAAAGATGTACATGTATAAGAGTGTGCGTGCTCACAAACACATTAGTTAGGCTGTGTGCCATCTTAGAGAGAAGAAACGCTGTCCCTGAAGCTTTTAATAAAAACATTTTTAATACAAAATATGTTAAAGATCTTGGAGGTGGGCATAAAAATGGCTTTGGGGTAACACACAGCCTGTGGCATGCTTTATTTTCACACCTGTATAAAAGTATCATTTCATTCAGTTCTGGGGGTGTTGTTGTTTGGGATCTGTAGCGTATGGCAGTTTTTGTCTTCCAGATCCTAGAAGGTATGCCCATCCTTCTCTTAATATTCATGGCAAAATGGAGATTCTTTACACGTCATAGTGGACACTTTGGGTGTTTCATTTTTTTGTCCTGTTCTTATTCTCATTAGGCAAAATATTCTCATTTTTCATCATATTTGGAAGTGGTTGACTACAGGTTTTTGTTCACATATATCGAGTTGTAAATACATATTTCTGTATTGTTAGGTGAAGGGAACTCAGGAGCGGCAGAGTCCACTTTTTCTCAGGAAAGTCCAAGAGAACAGCAGCCAACGTCTGCTTCTGAGAGACAGGTGCCACGTCCTCCTCGGCCTCACCCCTTGCCCCCACGACTGACCATTCATGCTATTCCTGCTCCACCGCAGGAGCTGGGACCGCCAGTACAGGTACAGAACCAAGAGGAGACGGCTCCTCTGAAAGGTTCTTATTCCTGTGCATTTGTCAGACTACTTTTTGGGGTCATTCCTCCTTTAGAAAAAGAAAAAATGGGAGTCTCAGAGTAAGTAGGAATGATTATACCTAGCTGGGTTTTACATTCTTCTCAAATTTGGCTTCAAGGAATTGCCATTATTATTTGTTCTAGAATTACTACAGGGTCTGGTACAGTGGTAAGGTGGTCCATATCACCTCTAGTGTGGGTGATTCCACTACTCCCACCGACTCCAAATTGACGGGTTGAGTAATGACATGCACTAAAGCAGGGGTGTCCAACCTTTCACCTTCCCTGGGCCACATTAGAAGATGAAAATTTGGTTTGGGCCGCATGGGGGGGCAGCCTTACCCATCCTCCGCAGCCCCACTCCACGTGCGCTTAACGGCAGCTGCAATCTCCGACAGCAGAGGCTGCCAGCTTGACTCCGGTGGCTTCTAGTTTTTGGGGTCATTCCTCCTTTAGAAAAAGAAGAAAAATGGGAGTCTCAGAGTAAGTAGGAATGATTATACCTAGCTGGGTTTTACATTCTTCTCAAATTTGGCTTCAAGGAATTGCCATTATTATTTGTTCTAGAATTACTACAGGGTCTGGTACAGTGGTAAGGTGGTCCATATCACCTCTAGTGTGGGTGATTCCACTACTCCCACCGACTCCAAATTGACGGGTTGAGTAATGACATGCACTAAAGTGCTCATGCCAGAGCATCCCTTTATTATAACTTTTCTCCCTGTTTTTTGCATCAATATCTCCAAGGGAAAAATACTCTTTAGGGATGAAAAATAAAATCAGAACTTCATTGTTCGGCTCAAAACAATACACATTACAAACAGAACTGCAAAATTTGGGCTCCGTACAGTATGTGGAAATAAATGTATAGTGTATAACGTGTATTAGAAGCAAGACCTGGGCCGCATGCGGCCCTTGGGCTGCAGGTAGGACAAGCCTGCACTAAAGTGTTCATGCCACAGCATCCCTTTATTATAACTTTTCTCCCTGTTTTTTGCATCAATATCTCCAAGGGAAAAATACTCTTTAGGGATGAAAAATAAAATCAGAACTTCATTGTTCGGCTCAAAACAATACACATTACAAACAGAACTGCAAAATTTGGGCTCCGTACAGTATGTGGAAATAAATGTATAGTGTATAATGTGTGTTAGAAACTCTTGTTTTGCAAGAAAAATAGATTCAGAAATTTGAATTAAAATGTGTCAGTTTCATTTAAAAATTGCAGATGAGGAAGGAGATAGAAAAATGACAGAGAGTGGAAATCGATCCATTCATCTTGTGCTGGGGGGCTCAAGTTAGATTTGGCCATGCATACTAAAGCAGTTTCAAGGGACGTGGTGGCGCTGTGGGCTAAACCGCAGAAGCCTGTGCTGCAGAGTCAGAAGATCCGGCAGTCGTAAGATCGAATCCACGCAACGGAATGAGCACCCGTCGCTTGTCCCAGCTCCCGCCAACCTAGCGGTTCGAAAGCATGCAAATGCGAGTAGATAAATAGGGACCACCTCGGTGGGAAGGTAAACAGCGTTCCGTGTCTAAATCATACTGGCCATGTGACCACGGAAAGATTGTCTTCGGACAAACGCTGGCTCTATGGCTTGAAGAGCGGGATGAGCGCCGCCCCCTAGAGTCGGACACGACTGGACAAAAATTGTCAAGGGGAACCTTTACCTTTACCTTTTTACTAAAGCATTTTACACTTTAATACATAGCGGATACCGATGACTCGGAGGCAGTCAGTGGGACGTGGACTTCAGTTAACCCCCGGCATCGGAGGCATGGTAAGTAGCATAATTTCCTTAAATACAGAACTTTTCCTCTATTAAAGTTGTGTTATCTCAGGCCTCTGATCCATTTAGAGACTGCTTTCTCCAATTGTTTCTAAAATGAATTGAGTAGTTGTAATTTTCCATCTTGACAGAACAGCTGTGCCCCTTGTGACTTCAATGATCATATTTTCCTCCTGTTGCAATAGATGCAGAATTTTTTAACCAGTTCCAAAGCACAAGATCAGGGTGATGTTTTTGGCTCTGGTGTAGAAAGTTAGGTATAAAGACTAACAAAATGGAGAAACCAACAAAAAAATCATTGTATCTTTCTACTGAGGTTGGGTTCTTTGAATTGCTCTTCTGCTCTTTTGTCCATCACGGACATGCCTTCAAGTACAGAATGAGTAAAACTGACTATAAATAGGACTGCTCTTTATCTCTTTGAAAGAGCAAATGGTTATAAATTGCGGTTGATTAAAAAGGAACATTGACAGAAAAATCTTTGTGTTTCTTGTCCTAATGATGTTTTCTTCAGCAGCAGCACTTTTTTGATGATGAGGACAGGACCGTTCCAAGCACTCCAACCTTGGTTGTTCCACATCGTACAGATGGATTTGCAGAAGCCATTCAGTAAGTGGATTTTCAGCTGAGACACCAAAATGTTGCCTCTCCCATGACATTGGAATGTTAGGATCATGAAATGACATTTAAAAGAATAGCAAGTGTGAACTATTTTCCTGTCAGTTCATCCTTTTGAAGCCATTGTAGCACTTCAGGTCAAATGGCAGGAAGCCACAGAGAAAACAGAAAACCATCAAGCTATTATATTACCTTTCAGGTATTTTAGGCTACAGTTCCTCCATCACAGACTATTTGCTGTCCTAGCTGGTACCTAGTAGTCTAAAACATCTCAGCAGAACAAAAGCCCATGCTATAAAGAAAGATATTTCATGTGAAATGATTTCTGAGAACTTCCACATGCAATTGTTCTATTCCCAACCCGCTTCTGCAACAACATATTGTGCTTTCCTGAAATTGGTGGTTCTTGGACTCTTTTTGTATCACCCTTTAGTATTCTTCAAATAATGTAAAATTGCCAGAATAGTTCCTGTCTTGTAGAATATGCAGACTTTGTTTTTTCGGCCAATGTCCTTTTTTTACCATGTGCAGTGGGAGAATTCCTCTACCAAACACATTGCTGAAATAAATTCCCTATCACAGAAAGTTATTGCTATGCTCTTACCTTGTTTAATCATTATTTTCGTCTTCTCTGTCCATCATAAAGACAAAGAGTTAGCCACCAACACATAAAACTGAACTCATTCTCTCTTCCAGCTCCCCTCAGGTTGCTGGAGTTCCCAGGTTTAGGTTTGGCCCTCCTGAAGATATGCCACAGACTTCTGGTCAATCAGATCTTGGGCAACTCGCATCACAAGGAGGTAAAGCTGTCCTATGTTGCCCTTTTGTTTTCTGTTCAGTGAGATTTGCAAAGATAATGTTATTTAGCCGTTTAGTAATGTCCAACTCTTCATGACCCCATGGACCAGAGCACGCCACGCCCTCCTGTCTTCCACTGCCTCCCGGAGTTGGGCCAAATTCATGTTGGTAGCTTTTATGACACTGTCTAACCATCTCATCCTCTGCCGTCCCCTTCTCCTCATGCCCTCACACTTTCCCAACATTAGGGAAAGATAATAGAAATTGCAAAACAGCTCAGGTAAGATAATCTCATCCTGTTCTAGGCAAAACTAACTGGTCAGTCTTAAAAAAAACATACATGGTAAAGAGTCTCTGAAATGATTTGTGCAACATCATTAAGTGCCTTTTTAAAAGCTTGCAAAGGTGTGTTACCCTCCAGGTGCTAAATGTGTCCACTGTTAGAGGACTTGGTATTTGGACATAGAATGTAACAGTTTCTGTATCTTACCTTTCATTTGTGCAGACAAAAGCAGTGAAGATGTTCATCTTCATAGCTTTTGAGAGAAATATGAGCATCCACGGAGACCATAGGAAAACTGGCTTATATGACAAACAGCTTGCATTTCCAACGTCTTTTCTCCCTTGAATTTTTTTTTTTGCTTGAATTTCCTTGCTCTGTAATCCACTATTTCTGCTGTTTCTCTGTTACGTTGTTCCCTTATGCCTTCCCAGTCTCTTTGACAGATGTCTGTATTGCTTCAAATCCAGGAGGTGGTTTTCCAGTGGTGCTGTTCCACCAGTAGAAGAGACCTCTGGGAAATCAACCCCATCCCACCCCCACCCTTGCCCAATGCAGCCTCCTGTTTGCCCTTCAGGACTTCTTCTTTAGAGATAGGAAAGCCTATGGAGTAAATGTGAGGTGTATTTGGAATTGGAGTACTATAGGGATGAGTAGAGGATGGGAAAATTCAGTTGTGCAAATGGACATCCATTTGGATATAGTCCACAATCTTGCAAACAAAGTAAAATATGCTTAGATTTATCAAAATTCACCTGTGAAGGGTTTTCTTGTATAAAGATGTATATATGATGGATAGCTTTACCATCAGCCCACAAAAAAATCATTGTGACCTGGTGTTTGCTCGGTAGTTCAACACTTACTGAAGTACATATGTGGAACATAACTTTTTCATTGTAACATACTAAAGAGTTTGGCCAGTATAGCTTTCCAGAGAACGTGCAGAGTTTCCCCCAATTAACAAAGCTCATTCTGGTGCAAGTGCTCTTTCATACAATATGGCTACAATGAGGCATTTCCTTTCATACAATGAGGCATTTCCTGTATACCATCTTGCTATGTGGCCCATAGCCCTCTTAGTATGCTTCTTATGATGGAGCAGAGCCTGATCTTGGAGCAAGAGCAGTTTCTTCTGATAAGTTAGTGCATAGGAGATGAATTCCTGAGTAGAAAGGGAAAACTCAGAACTCTTCCACACAACTACATGAAGTGAAACTGCTGCTCAAAAAACCATTTAACACATCTTATGATCTTTTAACATTCTGTGATAGAAAGATACCACTATTTACATATCTCTCTAAATTCCCACAAACTGTACACCATTTCCATAAGCCATATGTTCTAGAAGCATAGATTTATTTATTTATTTATTTGTCTGTTTGTTTTGTCTGTTTGTTTGTTTTTATTTTTGGCCTGGGAAGTATGTTTTTTTTGATTGGAAAGTGAGGTAAAATACTCTTCCACCAGAGGGTCGTTTATTTTAAATCACTTGTGAAACCAATTGGTTTCAATTGTTTTGGCACCTCTTTTGGTGCATATTGTGTCTTTGCCAGCAAGAGGTGTGGACAGGGCTGGAGAGGCAAATGATGAGCACTGGCAAAGGCAGAAGGAGGAGAATGTGGAGACCGGAAGCTGTCAGAGAGGTGGGAACAACAGCAACAGCCACATCTGCCCCGTGGCACCAGGAGCCAGCCCATTGCTGAGCTTCCCTGCCTGGTTCAGCTGTCACATGCCACCCAACTGATGGGTTGGTGAAGCCGGACTGCTGCATCTTGGGATGTGATGCTGCTCCTCTCTGCTGGCTTCTAGCGTCATACCACAGCTTCTGGGCACTGAAGCTGACCATTGCGTCCTAGATCCCAGTAAAGCTGTGTGGCTGCAGTAACCCAGCTTCACCGCCCATCAGCCAGGCAGCTGAAACAAAAGGAAACAGCAATTTATAATCATGTGACAGTCACATGTTTATAAATTGCATTAAATAACACTAAAGCATATTGTTTGTTATATCCAGGCCCTTGGTTTACTGTTTGCATCCATTTCTCCAACTCTAGTGTGTTTTTCCGTGAAGATTCTCCATCATCCGGGTGAGGTTATCTGGAAGTTGAGTCATGGCAACCGGACTTCTTTCTTACTAGGTTGAAATGTTTCACTACTCATGTTTCAGCCTAATAAGAAGTCCAGTTGCCATGACTCAACTTCCAGATGTAATATGTTTGGTTATTTTTCCTGAATTTTGATTTCTGTACAGTTGCCATGACTCAACTTCCAGATGTAGTATGTTTGGTTCATTATTTTTCCTGAATTTTGATTTCTATGTGGAGAATCCACATTCTCAGCTATGTACTTGGTTTTTTGTCCAGTCAGTTAAGGGGAAGGCAGCACTACCTGACTAGCACCTGACCAAGAACCGCACAGCAGAGTTTAGTATGCTTAGTTAGTCTCTTCACTTTCTGAACTATTTCCTACTACCATAAACAGCTCGATTTCATAAACAGCTACAATTTTCCTAATTTTAGAGCAAAAAGAACCTGTTTGTTTCCCTATAACCAAAAATGCTTCCAAATTGCTTGTAGGGTTAGGAATGTATGAAACCCCTCTCTTCCTTGCCCATGAAGAAGAATCAGGAGGTCGTAGTGTCCCAACAACTCCACTTCAGGTTGCAGCACCAGGTGAGTACTGGATGTCTCCCTAGAACCATTTTGGTTCTGTGGATAGTGAGTCCATCACGGTTCCACTTGTGCTAGCCTCCTGTGGCATCTGAATGATTTGCAAGAATTTGCAGATGATCTGACACCCCATTTTCCAAGGTACCTCTTATAAAATGAAGATAGTTTATTGAAAATGCATGCACAAGTGTTCATGGAAAAAAAAATGCACTGCCAACAAACTATGTTAACTTAGATGTCAAAAAGTATATGGTTTCCATGGTTGAATGACTGTCAGTCGCTAAGCATAGGAGTCTCCTGTCCTTTCTGAAACTCTAGTTTGTCTGTACATCACCTAATATTCTATTTTTGTCTCTCACATGTGAGAAATAGGAAGGTGTGATTGGGTGCATTTAATTCAGAGATAAACTTGGATAAATGGATGGCACATCTGTTTCTCATACATTGATTAGAATCCAGCTGAAAAATTGTGCTGGTGTAACTCCATTAGAAACATGCTACCAAACTCCAGAGCTATATGGAACTGGAAGGCAGTCATCTTTCCTGGGTAGGAAAGGGAGAGATTGATCCATTGACCCACCAAAAATTGTCCACCACTTACGTATTTCAGTGTTCAGCATCTTCAATTTCCTGATTGCGAGATGCAGTGGGAGCAGATGGTATAAAGTTCATGAGCAGCTGTAACTTAGTTCCTTTCCTTTTGCCATTCTTTCTAGTTTCTGTGTTTACTGAAAGTAGCACTGCTGATGCTTCAGAACATGCCTCCCAGTCTGTCCCGATGGTTACAACATCTACTGGTAACTTATCAACCACTTCAGAATCTGGAACAGGTGACGATGGTGATGAAGTTTTTGTGGAGGCAGAATCAGAAGGGTAAGCTCAGCCATGCAGTTGGTTGTCACTACATTCTCCCTTGGCAGAGGACTGGTGTGTATGTAATTTTACTGGACTCACAGAATAACTGAGTTGGAAGGGAATTGGCAATTGAGTCATTGCAGGAACCCAAATCAAAGATTTGACAGATGATTGTCCAGTTTTCTCTTGAATCCCTCCAGTGCTAGACCACTCACCTGCCATTGTTTGTATTACCTAATGAGCTGTCAAAAACTCAAATCAAGTTTCTTTTGTCCAAGAATATACCCGTGTTACTGATTTGATGTCTAGCAGAAGGTGCAAAGGTCACAACCATTCAGATGCCCCCAACTTCCCATTTCACTCTTGATGCCAGTACTGTTGCAGCAGTGCCATTATCCCTATTAGAGTAGCACTTTGCAGTATGTGTACTTCAGTAAAGCTCTGCCTTGTATTGTTAGCATGTGCTGCATCCACAGGACCAGCATAGTCTCTAGCAGTAACTAGACTCAAAACAATTGCTGCTATTGTTTGTAACGGGAACAGTGCTCAAGGGATTTACAAATGATCCTATAAAATCCAGCATGAGGAATGCTGCCTTTGTTTCCATTTCAAAAATATGATCCTATTTATCCTGCTGTGAAGATAGATATGAAGAGCATTCCACAACTCCAGTGGAACACCATGCTCCACAATACACCAGGGCTGCGGATAAGACCATTTGTTTTAATAGGAAGCAGTACTGCAGTTGAGAAATTGAGCTGTGAATCACAACATTTTTAGAAAAGCAAGCATCTGGTATCAGTTGGAGTGTCAGACTGGGACTAAAGAGATTTGGATTCAAGGAATTGTTATATGTTCTTATGAACTGATGTTCTTGTTTCCTCTAGAAAGAGGAAAGAGTGTCTGTTCCAAGTGTTATATGTTTTAACTAACTTGAGGCTGCAATCTTGAAACAGAATTTTCAAATGGCTGCAGGGTGTGATTTATGTGCACTGAAAAATGGCATTCAAATTAGACAAGTAATATATTCCATTATCCTCTGAAGCTGGCTGTAGTAAAACTCTGAGGCACCTCAAACTGGACTGTCAGACTGCTCGGCAGCAATTGCCAACAGCAGGGAAAGAGGTTTTAATCAAGACTTGCATTCCTCTAGGCATGCCTAGCAGTTGCAACACTATGTTGTATTTCATTGATAATGTATGGTCTGCAGAGATTAGGTATAATGCATACACTCAGTAATTTTATTGCCATGTGTTTTATGCTCAGAGATCAACCCAGGTATCCTGCCAGGCAGTGTGTGTTTGTACAGAATTCAGACGTGCTGCTGTGTCAGCTGTCCACACATTAGAGGGGAAGCTTTCTTGCAATATATACATGTATTTCCCCACACTGCTATGTGTATCCCCTTCAGAATTACTTCAGAGGTTGGTCTAGAAATTGATAGCCAGCAAGAAGAAGAATCATCTCAAGCTCCTGATGAGTCAGACCTCCCTTCTACCAGTCAGGATCCTCCTTCTAGTTCCTCTGCAGGTACAGTTCACTCCCATTCAGTCTTAATGATCTGTATAGCCATTTTGAGGCACTACTCTTTTGCATTGATAAAGGGTTGCCAAATTAGTATAATTAGGTACTAAGATCTCCATCCAACTGGAGCATTGAATCACTGAATCAGTGGAAGTTATGGGGTTTGTACCACCTCATCTTGGTACTTCTGGAGCGGGCCAGGTTAGATGCTTACAGCTTCCAGAGTCTCTCATCCAGCCTACACACTGATTGTCATGTTTTAATCAAAAATCTTGCTCAAAGTATTAAAAATAACTTTTGCTTTCCATTACTAATGACTACATTTCTAAGTATTGGAATTTGTGTGTTACTCCCATTTACTATTGAAGCAGAGTGAGAAAATGCTTGTGATAACTGAATAGCAGCATGCAGAAGAGATGAGAGACAGTTATTTTTTCCATAGAGATTTTATTTGTTGCACCTCCACCTCCACAAGTCGGAAGTACAAAAATTAAGAGCACAGCTTGTATATTGAAAATTGGCAATTTGCTATACTTCTTAGCAACACAAATCACAATACAGTCACAGCATTTTCTATCTCATGCCATTTCCTTTTCAGACACAAGCAGTAATCATCCCAAGCCTTTCCGACGGGTTAGGCTCCAACCACCCACATTAAGAACAGGAGTTCGTGGTCGTCAGTTTAACAGACAGAGGGGTAGGTACCCTTCAGTGTTACCACTAACATGCCAGATGTCTAATGGTTTCCCTATATGTTGTTTAGACAAACAGTATATGGATTGGATAGTACTGTGGCCACCAACATCATGCATTGGGTTTAAAGACATCAGATAATCTAAAGATTAGTCTAAAAATTCTACAGTTTACTTTACGCCGGGTTGTTCTTTTGAAATAAGAGGAAAATAACAAATTTAAGGATGATCTGGAACAGTGTATAGCTGTTATAAAGGGATTTGATGTGCAGTAATAGCAAAAAAACCCAAACAAAACAAAACACACACACAACCTTACCACTAGAATTTTAAAAAGAATTAGGAATTCCCATTTTTTAAATGTGTGAAGCAATGGTATCTTCAATTACCTACAGAAGAGGTTGCTCTTTAAAGATGCAAATCATTTTCATTATCTTTTAAATTACAATTGAATAATTTTTAACTTTAGTGTATCAAGTGTTCTCCAAAGTGAATTCTTTTGTAGCCTCTAGGGAGTCAATCTAACTATCAATAACATGTTTGAATGAGTTGAAATGTATTTCTCAGTCTATCCTGTTGTTTTTAACTTGCTTATAAATGGGTGAAGTTAACAATTAGGTGCCTGTTACAGTTCTGAGTCTGTCCTCTTTAAAGTAGCAGAACTGGTTGTTGTCCCAAAAGGGGTAGCTTTGGCATTGGCCGTGCGGAGTTGTGGCTCAATAAATCCTCTAACATTGACATTTAAGGTAGCAAAAGACAAAAAGTTAATTAGAACAAAAATATATGTGTATTTTGCTTTATCTTGCAGGTGTAACCCATGCGATGGGCGGCAGAGGAGGCCTGAACAGAGGCAATATTAATTAAGTTCTGTACAAATTTTGGAAATGGTGTATACTGTCTAATCTGTCTTTTATTCTGTATTAGTGTAATGGCTGCTAAGTTTAAATCAGTTTTTTTATTTTGAATTTGGATCAATGTATGAACATTTCATTGTCTTTTATTAATAAAAACTTAGAGAAATTGTCAATGCAACAGCTTTTCTTTCAACCACTTGAATTTTCTCATCACTCTGAAGGACACTTGTACCAAGCGCCGGAAACAGTCTGCCCAGTCTGCAGAGTGACTGGTCTTGCGATTCTGCTGCCCACGTCCACACTGTAATATTGATCTGAAAGAGATAGGAAAAATACTGGTTTCTAGATGCAATCTTATGAAAGACTCCAAAGCAGAAAAACAAGTACTGTATGAATCCTTCTTTCCACTGACTTGGAACAGAAGGCATTTCTATCCAGATGAACTTGTTCACATTGAGAGGGAGCAGCACAGTTCAGGTTCAGCTTTCACGGCCAGCCCCTCCCAGATAAATATTTCTATGTTTATGGAAAGTTTAAAGCACGGGAGGCCAGAGTCTAGAGAGGCTGCACACAGCTGTCCATAGACTTTGCTGGTGGTATGACCTCACCCCCCCCCCTAATTGTTTAAAAAATGGGAATGGGAGTACTAAAAAAACTTGCACCCTTTAGTGGCCAAAATAACAGCAACCCGGAGGTGGGGGGGAAGGGTGATGGCACAATTGCCTCCCCATATCAAGGGGAAGGAAAAAGGGACTTTTTGATTCCAAAAAGCTTTTCTAAAATATTGAGGATGTGGGAATGACAGGGAGCCATATTTTGCGCTTCCAAAAGGCTGCATGCAGCCAGCAGGTCACATGTTGCCCACCAGTGGCCTAAGGAAGCGGAATATTTGTCAATCTATTTGTAAGTTTAGTCCTGAGATTTAGACTCACTGGATGACATGGTGAGCTTGGAATACTTAGCTGCAGAGCCAGGATTTGGAAGTTTGATTTGGAACTGTTATTATCATGGAATGTTCCAGCACATAGGGAAACCTAGAGGCATTCATACCTTTCCATATAATGCCTGGATAATAAGGGTTAAAGGTAGGGCTGCTCTCTTGCATGCACACATGCACGCACGCACACACAAAGGTTGCTGAATCTTGTGCGATGCAGTGTAATGTTAACATATTTATTAACAATTTGTAGACTGGTTGTAGGTTTTTCAGGCTGTTTGGCCGTGATCCAAAGGTTTTTCTTCCTAACATTTTGCCAGTCTCTGTGGCCAGCATCTTCAGAGGACAGGAGTTAGAACTCTGTGTTCTGGTGTACTGTGTGGAATAGTTGAGTATTTATAGTTGTTGGATCAGCTTTTTGTCCTTTTCAGTGCACACAAAAGACTAGCTAACCACACCCTTCAATCACAGTGACAGACCATCTCCCCCTTATCACAACAACACACTCATAACAAAAAACACCCTGATCACCATAATCACCCAATCTTCTGAAAAGGACAAAAGCTGATCCCACAGCTACAAATAATCAACTGTCCCACACACTACACCAGAACACAGGCAGAGTTCTAACTCCTGTCCTCTGAAGAGACTGGCAAAACATTAGGAAGAAAAACCTTTGGAATACGGCCAAACAGCCCCAAAAGCCTACAACAACCATTGGATACTGGCCGTGAAAGCCTTCTAAAATACATTTTGAAGACTGTTATCTACATTAGACTACAAGAAACATTCTCACACAACCCAAAGCCTGCCAAAATCCTCTTTCATAAAGTTATGCCCATGCAAGCTGATGATACTATCTGCTGCAGGCTTATGTTGCTTATTAAAAGTTTCCTATTCCAAACCACCACCACCACAGGTTCTGAGGCTCCCTTGAGATCTCTTTTGACCTGAGGGAGACTTTGGAAACCTCTGGCGTTTTTTATGGAGGCCTTTAATGCCTGAAAAATTGTTGATGATGGATGATCCTGCCACTGGGGGATGGGGAACGGAATAAAAACTAATGACCAGAAATAGCTGCTAAAAATTGGCACAAATTATTTCCCTGGAAGTAGTGAGGAAAACACCCTTCAAAAGAGGGGTTTGGTTGGTGTAAAGAATTTGTAATGGCAGCTAAGTGGAGTAATACTATAAAAAACTAAAATACTTGCTTCAAATAGAACTTTTCAAGTTTGCCACTATGGTGATATATTTTGGCAGTGAATTCCAACAGTGGAACAATGTCAGCTGAGTTATAGCCCATGGAGTTGACCCCTTCAATGTCGTTGGATGCCAAAATTGGCCAGCGTGTGGTGTGCTATCATAGGTTGGTGTAAAGAATTTGTAATGGCAGCTTAAGTGCTCTATTTGAAGCAAGTATTTTGGTTTTTTATAGTATTACTCCACTTAGCTGTGCAGCAACCAGAATAAGATGACATGACTGTATTTGAATAAACGTAGATTGTT